TACAATCTTTTGGACTAGAACTCACAGTCTCCTGGTGATTGGCCTGATGTCACCCAGCGATCTCTCATGCCTAGTGTGGAACTAGAACTCACAGTCTCCTGGCTCCAAGCTTGGTGCCATCATCACTTGATCAAACAGGCTCTGGACCACATGCTGTTCTCTTTCAAGTACCAAAATACCTTTTCACCACAAGCTAATTATGAACACAGCCTGTTTTCTATGTCTTATCCCCAGAAATATGTATTTTTCTCAAGCCCTCAAAAAGTAAAGCCACCTGAAGACCTCCAGGATTTGGGTGTGAGATTTCTTCAGCCCTTTGTCAACTTGCTGTCCAAGGCAACTTATTGGTGGATGAATAACCTGATCATATCAGCTCACAAAAAACCCATCGACCTGAAAGCAATAGGCAAGCTGCCCATTGCAATGAGGGCACTTACTAACTATGTCTGCTTGAAAGATGCCTACGAGGAGCAAAAGGTAATTATTTAATAATTATTTAATAATTATTAAATTGTATTTATATAATATTTGTATAATTTAATTATAATTAATAAATTGTTACATTTAATTATTATTATTTTCATTCTAAGTCAAAGATGCTGGATTTCTGACTTCATTCTTCCAGAATCTGTTTTTGGATTTTCAAACCAAGTGCAAAAAGGGAACCAATCTCCAGTAGCACCCATTCTATATACCAAATAGAAAAACAATCCTGAATTTAAAAAGAAAGAATGGGTGCTGTTCAAGAAAGAGTAGGAAAAATTACAAAGAAAAATTCTAAACCCAACTAGTCAATGCTAGCGGAAATTAGTCTCTAAATCCCATCGCTGTTCATGTGACAAACTTGTATATGTGTGTGCTTATATATCCATATTCAATTTAATAAAGTACAGGTAGTCCTCGACTTACAACCTCAATTGAGTCCAAAATTTCTGTTGCTAAGCGAGACATTTGTTAGGTGAATTTTGTCCCATTTTACAACCTTTCACTTGTTAAGGGAATTGTTGTCATTGTTAAGTTAGTAACACCATTGTTAAGTGAAACTGGCTTCTCCATTCACTTTGTAGGTCATAAGGTCTCAAAAGGTGATCCCATGACCCCAGGACACTGCAAACATGAGCCAATGTTCATCACGTGACCGTGGGAATGCCCCGATGGTCGCAAGTGCGAAAGTCACTTTTTTTCCGGTGCCGTTGTAACTTCAAACGGTCACTAAATGAACTTACTGTTTTAAGTCGATGACAACCTGCCATTGGAGAAAGCGAGTTACAGGATGAAGATGAGAAAAACGACATGGGTAGCTCCAGTGGGAAAAAGAGGAAAAAGAAAAATGGAAGAAAAAAGAGCAATGAGATGAGAAAATTAATAGGATAGGAAAAGAGGGTGGAATTTCAAACCATTAAATTTAAGCAGAGAACAGCTCTTCCCAAACTCTTCCTAATTTTAGGCTAATTTTCAAAGGGTCCATATTTTTCAGCAGGATGTTTACAGCCTCCTGCGTCTTCGACTCATTTGCATTTTTAAACCATCTTCTTCTACCCTGTTTTTCCAAAAACACGACCTACCCTGAAAGTAAGTCCTAGCTTGATTTTTACACATGTGCCCAACATAAGCCCTACCTCCAAAATAAGCCCTAATTAAGATCCCGCCCACTCCAGAGTACACGGGTAAAAATTCAGCTAGGGTGGGGATAGGGGTATATGTGGAGCTGCCCTACTACTTACCTTTGGACAGTTGTAGCCAGGTCTTGCACACCTGCCTTGCCGGCCCATTTCTTCTGCAGCTGGCAAGGCCGTCAAGGCTTTCCAGAAGGCCTCTGTAGCTGATAACAAAGCTCTGGATCGGTCCGGAGCTCTGTTATCGGCTGCAGAGGCCTTCAGGAAAGCCTTGCCAGCTGCAGAAGAAGTTCCTGAAGGCCTCTGACAGCGAAAAGGAGGCCGGGAGCGACGCAAGTGTAGTTAGTCAGTGGATGACATCCCCCCAAAATAAGACCTGGTGCCTTTTTTGGTGGCAAAAAAAAAAAAAAAAAAGACAGGGTCTTATTTTCAGGAAAACACAGTAGATTTGCACAGTTCAAAGTCGATAAATAGGGCGGGATATGGGGAGGAAATTACATAGCCAAACATACATGATTTAGTACAATATTACTTGGCAAGCATGATAGATGAGTCAGATTTTCTACAACACAAACATCCAAGAATGTTGTGAGCCATATCTAAGTTCCTTGGAAAAATCACCATTTGGATGCATTGTAACTCTGAAAGATTATTTTGGCTGGGATTAATGGAAGCTGTCACCCAATATATCCATAAGGAACTTTGCAAACCTTGGTCTGAAATGCTTTGATGTTTTCTGTTTACCTGGGTAAAAAAAAAAAAAAAAAGAACAGAAGGAAACTATATTATCATTGACAATGGACATTTTTAATCTTCAATAATAGGAATAATAATGGATCTTTTACTCTTGCTGCATTACTCTGAGGTTGGGCTGGTTCCCTCATGCCTACTGGTGGGCATGTAATTTAATTTAGTTTTAATTCCAGTGCTTTTGCTCCAATATACAGGTAGTCCTTGTTTCATAACCATTCATTTAGTTAGATTTTTTTTTCCTTTTAATGACCCCATAATCCCTCGCGGGGTGGAGTAGGGGCAGCCGAATGGAGCTGAGTGTTTACTGACTGGATGCCCTTCCTGTCACCAATGAGGATTTTTGTTCAGCAGATACATTCTCATTGTTCCCAGAGAGAGAAATATCTGCCTCTACCTAGGATCGAACTCACAGCCTCCTGATTGTGAGGCAAGAGCTCCACCTCTAGGCCACTGCACCACTTATTCATTTAGTTAGAATGCCATTGAAAAAAAGTGACATGATTGTTTTTCACACTTATGAAGTCTGAAAGGGTAGAGGCAAACACCCACAGAAGACAATATTGTAGGAGAAGATTGAACCATGGTGTCCTTGGCGCTCTCTGTGCTTGGCTATTTTCTGGCACACATTTTATTATACCCAGCTAGTAACATCATCAGAGCTACACCGATCAGTGCTACACTGATTATGTTACCTAGTTGGGTAATGAAATGTCTGCAAGAAAACAACCAAGCTCAGAGAGCACCAAGGACCCCACTATATTGCAAATAACCTAACTCTGTTACATGTAAGGCTCTGTTGTGGCCCGTCGGCTGCCAGCAGAGCTAGCAGCAGATTCAAATGAGGAGGAGGTTGAAGGGGATCCTGGCCAGCTTCAGAGCCTTTGGAAGGCTCTGATAGAGCCAGGGCCTTCTGTCCTCCCCCAGATGGAGAGGCAGCTGTCTTCAGGCCTGAGCTGAGTGAGGAGGAGGAACAGATGGGGCCCATCCCAAAAGCACGAATGCATAGAGAGGAGAGGAGAGCAAAGGAAAACAATAAGCTGGCTCTCAGGGAAAAGCAACCCATCCCTTGCTGGAAAATAAATAGTAGGGGTTTGGGAGTGGCCAGTTGTCACAGACAACCATTCGTTTTTAGGATACAGCAAGCAATTCAGTTTTCTAGGTCAGAACCAGGTCTGTTGGGACTAATTAGGTTTGGTTTTTTGTTTATCCACTTGAATAAAAGATTGTTCTAACTTCCTACCCTGTTTGAAAAGGGGTTTGTTTTTACTCATGAGTAAGCAGCTTATCATTACTTGCTGGCTCAGAACAGGCTCTAAAACTGATAACCAGCACCTTGAATTGGACCCGAAAAGCAATGGGGACCCAATACTGGTCAAGCAGCAGTGGTGTGATGCAGGGCACCCCAAATTGTACATTCTGGAGCAGTTGAAAGCTTCTGGATTGTCTTCAATCCAGGGCAGCCCCATATTGAGTGCATAGATGCCTACCATGTGCTTATAATTAGTAGTTTTTCTAGCTAGCAAAGTGTTGCATTTGATTATTGGTTTTAATTATCATGGGGGCATGATGGCTCACTGTTTAAAGACGTTGTGCTTGTGATTTGGAAAATCAACAGCCCAGATTTGAGACCCCAGCACCACGTGACGGGGTGAGTTCCCATTCCTTGCTCCAGCTCCTGTCCACCGAACAGTTAGAAAGCATGCAAATGCGAGTAGATAAATAGGTACCACTTTGGTGGGAAGGTAACAGCATTCTTTGCACCTCGGAATACAAGGAAAACCTTTATCTTTACCTAGTTTTAATTATTAATAATCATGATTGATTAACCATGATTCAATCATTATTTACTGAATTCCTTTTTTTTTCTTTTCAGAAAAAAGTAGCTGACCATCCAAACCGTACTCCTTCCATCTGGTTAACGATGTATCGGGCGTTTGGGCGCCCCATTCTCCTCAGCAGCACCTTCCGCTATTTAGCAGACCTTCTGGGCTTTGCTGGACCACTATGCATTTCTGGCATCATTGACAGTTTATCCAATGACACCAAGTCTACAAGCAACAATGTCACCAATGTACGTTAACCATTCCATCTGGTATAATGGGCTTTCTGTATGTGCCTCTTGGCATCCTTAACCAGTGTTTCTTCCTCTTATCTTGTCTCTACACACCTGTTTTTTCACCCTGGGAAAAATCTGGGGTTACAGATGCAGGAATTGAGTATATCTAATCTAGTGAAAAGAAGGACCAGGGGGGACTTGATAGTGTTCCAATATATGAACGGCTGCCACAAGAAGTGGTGTCAAACTCGATTACGTCACATGACATATCACGATGTTTTTGGCCTTTACGGAGCCAGGGTGGGTGTGGCTTGTGCATGACGCATCCGGCCCGTGGGCCGCCATTTTGACAGGCCTGTATCAAAAGCATCAAACACCAAAGCAATGGATAGAAACTAATCAAAATTTCCGCTACTGGTTCTCCAGAACTGGTCAGAACCGGCTGAATACCACTTCTGTGAGGGTTGCTGACCCTCTGATGTAGGTGATAGCCATAATTGTTCCTTTCGTGGTTGGAGAATGCTTTCAAAAGTTTCTGAAGTTGCTTCCTTCTCTTCACTCCAAAGATATCTACAGAGCCATTCCTCTCCTCAAGAGATTTCCTCAAGGACAATTATGTTCTGGCTGTTCTCCTGTTCCTGGCGCTTATCCTCCAGAGGACATTTCTCCAGGCTTCCTATTATGTTACCATAGAGACGGGCATCAACCTACGAGGAGCTTTACTGGTGAATAGTGACTTAATTTCATCCCCTTGTAGGCTTTGATAAGGGTTTTAATTCTTCACACCTTTACTTAATTCGCTTGTTCTTAAGAATGACAAGGTAAAGTAGGATGAAAGACAGATAAAATGTCTTTCATCCCTATTTTTACCAGGGATGTCTTTCATCCCTGTCTTTCATCCCTATTTTTACCAGGGATGTGCCATTTTCATGGGCTGAGACCCATTTTGGCCTTTGACCAGCATCCCAGATGCTGCAGTCACAAAATAGTGAAATGGAAAAGCTGGAATGAAAAATAATTGAACTTACTTCATTGATATTTCAGTATAATGAAAATGAAATGAAAATGAAATAAGGAGAAATTTTCTGACAGCAAGATGGCAACAGCTTTGCCTTCAGAAGTTGTGGGAGCTTCATCACTGGAGGCTTTCAAGCAGAGACTGGACTGCCATCTGTCAGAAATGGCGGAGGGTCTCCTGATTGGGCGGGTGGTGGTGGACTAGATGACCTACAAGGTCCCTTCCAACTCTGTTAATCTTGTGAATATAGTTCATATGGATTACAGTCAAATGTTTTATAATTTATACAGTTCACTAATGTAGGCCATTTTGACCTCTTGGATAAATGGTGAGATATGTATCTAATAATTTAATTAATTGTAAGACACATTGAGTAGGAGCACTTTAGTGTTGATGAAACACAATAAAAGTGGAGATAGAATTGGGTATTTATCCGATTCTATGATATGACACGTGACAGGAGTGGTGATAGAATTGGTTATTTATCATGTCGACCCATATATTCCACTTGGTTGTGTGAAGGTCCAACGTTGGGAAAATGGGACCATTTTATAAACCACTTTCATAAAATGATGCTCCCTAGACTGGTGAGTTGAAAAGTTGCACAATTTAGAAGGAATGGTCCCAACCTTTGGTTCTAAAACAGGGATCCCCAAACTTGGCAACTTTAAGACTTGTGGACTTCAACTCCCAGAATTCTCCAGCCAGCTGGCTGGAGAATTCTGGGAGTTGAAGTCCACAAGTCTTAA